CCAACAAGTATGTTCCATAGTAAACACATTCTTGCAGTTTTCTGCAGGAAAGACTGTAGGGGCGAGAGGTCACAGAGACACAGTCAAAAGATAGATTTCTTATGAGTCAAAAAACCAGATATGCTTTAAATAAAAGTAATGGAGTGACAGTCCTCCAGAGATTAACATGTTGCCATGTATTTCTAGGGAATTAGCAGATAATATTGTAAGGTTTATTCAAAATATTTCTGCATTAAAAAAGAATAAAGTAGTTTTGTTTGTCCCAGGCCTGAGTGTTTTCAGTAAACGTTTGTGACACAAGCCTTCAAAGCGGAAAGCAGCTCCATGTCTAGGGCAATCTGAAGTTTTGACCCTGTCAGTGAGGACCAGATTAGTTGTCCCAAAATAGCCCTGAAAACTGCTTTGTGTTTGGGTGAGAAGAGGTTGCTGATGAAGAAAGGAGTTAGTTTCTGGAATTTTCCCTTGCTTGATATCACTTTGTGAATAGTTGTGAGCACAAGAGAGCCATCTTGACTGCTGCCAATAGTGTTTTCAGTATTCAGGCTGCCCTTTGCTGTATAAAGCTTGGCATCCTTTTTCTTGCTGGCAATATGGGCATAATAATGTGTAGCATTATCAGGCCATTTCCTGGCATTTTGATGTGTTTATTGGCATTATCAGGCCATTTCCTGGCATTTTGAACTTTGACAGAAGCATAATATCCGACATTCTTAAACTATAGGATTTTTAAAGAAAGTGTATTGCTAGTGTTGTCGCACATCTTAGCCTTTACCCTCCCCTAGGCAGTAGTTTCCAACCTCAGTAGCCATCCAATAAGCACTTGATTAGCAGTAATACCGTACTCAGATCACCCACTTGTGTGCATGTGTTGGTGGACGGGGCAGCCATGCGTGCAGGTGTGCGGGCTATGTGTGCATGTGGGGGAGATCTGTCTGAGGTCCAGTCCTGCCAAGGCCGACTGGGGGTTGGGTACCCCACCCTAACTGATACCTTAGCTGGAACATATAATATACAGGCAACTGTATCTGCAAGCTGCCTGACAGATTGATCATAATGACCCATTGAATGCCTTTCTCACTGTAAGCCTTATAGAGATCAGAGATCTGTACTCTGTGCAGTCACAACGTACTGTAGTATGTACATGAATGTGCTTCCTCCCAGGCCTGATTTGAAAACAGTTTGGAAGGAAAATTGGCTTTTTCTGGAAGCCCCCTGGAATAATGATTCTCATTAAATACAGTACATATCTCCCTTTGCCTTAATGCAGAAAATGGGTTTTGTGAAACCAGAAGTAGACTTATAGGTGATGCAGCCTGTGGAGGGGCCTTGAGCCCTGGACACCAGAGCTTACCAGCTTGGTGCCTTATGAAAGGCATGACTTCTTGTGTGCACATGCATACAATTGCAGGAGGTGATCATTAACAATCATCCTGTAGAAGGTAAGGTAGAGTTCTAATTGCCACATCCAAATATTATCAAAGCTAGAAAAGAAAAGGAAAAGAACACCAGAATTCATGCTATCCTAATGAGAAAGCGCTAAATATTATGAGATATTTTTGGTTATGTGAGAAGGGTCTGCTGCCATGCACATACACCTACACAAAAGCATATATATTACAGACTTTCATCTATAGTCAAGGTTTAAGCATGCTGTTTCATCTAATGTCTCAAGAGCTTTGACTGTACTGATACTGTTTATATCTACTTGCTCCCTTAAATGAAAGCTGTTCTCTTTGCTTACCACAGTGATTTTAAAGGGGAAAAAAGTTAGAAACAACCACCCATATCTGTTATCAGCTTCAGAAGCATTATACTATGAAACTTCATTTTTTGAGGAAAGTATATTGTGACAAACCCAGACCTACTGGGATCTGCCACACTTAACTAAGCTGCCACCAACCATTCCCTATAAGAAGTCACACAGACCAGGGATGGATTTTTAAACAAATAAAAGAACAAGGTTTATTTAAATACAACACACAGGGAAAATAAAATAATCAGGTGAATAAGATAAAGTAACGTGGCTTCGTTTCACTCATACATACACACAGTTTGGTTCACACAGAACCCTTAACTTGAAGCACAGACCCTGAACCTATCAGTTCTGGCTAACCAACAGACACCTGAACCTATCAGGTTGGTACTCTGACACACAGTAGTACCCTGTCTGACACACAGACTCCCACACCAGCTTGTTCTTCCCAGCTGCTGCTTCGTCACATCCCAGCGTCTCCCTTTCACCACACAGGCTTCACATTTATATACAGTACAGCCCCTCCTCCTGATGTCCCGCCTTCCACTCCCCATAGGATGGAACTTTCCCTCCAAACCCATGACAGACAGGTAACATCAGTGCTGTATGTAACATATATTTTTAGATTTGTTAAACCTAAAACAGAAGACACATGTCTGTCCTTTATTTAAGCTACAGCCAATTATGATCAGTAAACTGGCATTTCCTTCATCTGTTTCTTTAGTCCACTGGATACATGAAATGAGAACTGAAAGCCAAACATTTATCTACCGTAGTAAATAATATGTTAAGCAAAAGGTACAAGCTGATTATTTTATTTGTTTTTAATATATAGGCAAACGATGCATGCTTTCAAATAGATGCCTGGATGCTTTCATATTCTGTAGATTTCATGAATTACTGTGCATGCTTTCATTTAGATACCTGGGGCCTGTGCTTTACAACTGGGAGGGCAGGGCAGAAAAGAAGGGCATAATTCAAAGAATAATTGAACAACTGCAATTCCCCTGTTTTCAGTTTTTTGTACTGTGGTGTGCAGGATGGACTGCTGAGCAATAAAAGAAGAAACTAACTCATCTGTTTATGTCAATGTGGTTTGATTGTTCTGCTAGACAACAGTCATCATCTTGGATGAATACATGTAACCTAACGTGTATAATCAGTGTGATGTAGTGAATAGAGTGATTGACTAGGACTCTGGAGATCAGGGTTCAAATCCCACCTAGCCATGGAAACTCAGTGGGGGAGTGGAACTGAATAAACCACTCCTTGAATATCTCAGTTGAAAGCCCTCCTATAAGTCGGTTCCAGCTTAACCATATATAACAGCAGTGTGTAGAATAAAAATTTCCTAGGAAATGTAACTAATTCAGATTGTAACTTCAGTGGCATGGCTACCAAATTACTTTTGCATGTTTTGGATTTTCTGCAATTTCAGCAATGTTTCTATCTACCTCTTTTATTGATCTGATGAATTGTACAATGCTGAGTGATGCTGGTACAACTCTGCTGAGTGATGCTGGTATGGCTGTTTAGCTGTGATGCAGCTGAACAAGATTTTGTTGTGATGATGGCAATCAAACAGAGCCCTAATTACCTGGAAGTGAGTGTAAGAAGCACCACATAGTCTGTTGTGGTTATCCTCTGCAATAACCTTGTAATGTTACAGGTATCAATAGGGGAAAGCAGAGAATGCTTGTACCATCTTCTTTCCAACTAAAATAGCATTTTTATTATTAAGTTAGTACACTGTTGCACTAGAATAATTAGGATTATAGCATTGTCAGAGTTTTAATAAATATGACAAGTGGCCCTGAAATATTATAAAAAGATGACTAACAAGTTCTTAAAATAGCATCATACCTCCCAGTTGAGCACAAATAATAACAGTATCTGATATTTATAATGCATTTGTGATGAGAAACAAGTGATTTTTTTTTAAAAAAGCAAGTGCAGCAGAATCTGAAACAATCATTTACATACTAACAGTGCTTCTGTTTGTATTTTACTTCTGAATAGATTGTGGTATATTATGTGTAATAATTATCATCCTTCCACAGCTTTAGCATCTAAACATGATTTATGACTAAATAAATGTTCATCAGCTGATACTTGGCTTTAATAAGTTATATCTATTCATTGTTCATTGATATATATTTAATTCATGGAGCAAAGATTGGTCGGACATAAGATATTTCAGGGTAAAATCTTTATTAGCTTAACCTAAAGATTGCAGAAATGTGCAAGCTTTCAAAATCTCCAGATTTTTTCATCGAACAAAATATTACATAAACAGTGAGGACAAGGGAGAAAAAAAATGAAAAGATAAACTATATGTTGACATTAGTTTAATCATCATAATTCAGCTCAATGGATGAAATGCTGTTGCTGAGTGTAATGTCACACTAGATTCAAGCTAGTGAAATCAGTTAGGATTTGGTGAGTCAACTCCTTTGCAAGCTTCATTGATTCAAATAGGTGTAATCTAGTTGTGACTTACTACCACTGTTGCAGTTATTAAACTAATATTGCTTGTATTGTACGCAAATACAGTCAACCCTCGACTTACAAACTTAATCCGTTCCGGAAGGATGTCGAAAAGTTCGTAAGTCTCTTGATATGGCAATAGGTACAGAATGGATGAAAGTATGTTATTGTCTCCCCTCTTCCTCATCAATCCCAATTCCCTTTTCCTTTTTGTTATCCCTTATAAAAAATAAAAAATACAAAAAAAAACCCATAGAAATGCATTGAAAACCAACTGGCTGGTTTTGGTTCTTAGGTCGATGGGCGGTTTGTAAGTTGAAGCATTAGTTCCCATAGGAACTAATGCAAAGCCGGTTAATCCAATCCTACCACTAGGGGCAGAATTTTTTTCCTTTTAACCTAAGATGACTTAGATTTTAAAAAAAGGAAAGAAAAGAGGGAGGGAAGGAGGGAACAGACACCTTTTCAAGCAAAACACCTTGAAAAGCATCTTTTCAGTCAAGACTTGCATTTTTTCCGTTCGTAACTCAAAGCAGAGTTCGCAAGTCGAGGCAATATTTTCCTATCAGAGTGGTTCGTAAGTTGAAATGTTTGCAACTAGGGCCGCTCGTAAGTCGAGGGTTGACTGTATGAAAAAGACTGAAAAGGCTTTTTACAAAAGTCATTAGGAGAGACAAAAGCAGTAGCCCAGAACCAATATGGAGTGTGCAATTGCCAAAGCAGTAATATCCTTTCTCTCCCTTTTTTATAAAAATAATAGGTGCCTTGTCCGACTCATCTCTATATGCTCGAAAAGACTTACTTCAAAGACCGACACACATTGCTACCAAAAGTTTCCAAGCCTTGCGCATATTTGTCAACAATGAATTGCATGAACTATATGCTGGATTGAAAACTGCTGAGAAGTTTCTAAAACCTGGAGGTCGCTTTGTAGCTCTTTCTTTCCATTCATTAGAAGATCGCATCATCAAGCGATTTCTTCGTGGAACAGATATGTCGGAAAAGTATAACCTCAGTAAAAGACAGAAGATCCGGCAAGGGAGAGATAACTTTTCAGAACAAGAGGAGGAAAGCGAGAATTCAAAATGGACATCTGTACTGAAGAAAGTGCTTACTCCCCAACCAAAGCATATTGAAAATAACCCAAGAGGGAGATCAGCAAAGCTAAGAGCAGCAATCAAATTGTAAATGATGTATTTTCTATCTGGAAATGTCTTCATAGTTCATAGTTCTTCACCATCAAAGATGAAAAGTCGCGAAGATGGTTGCATGTGAAAAGACAGTCACATCCCTTTGCTGTTTAGTCTTACACTTTATTTCCATTTAAACAGAACTGGTACATAAGAGAGGACTGCAGGACTGCATGAAAAAGCAAGCTTTTAAACTTGGAGGCACACAGCCCTTCCATGGCCACACCCCCTAGTCCTTGGTCCCTGACAGGAGGAACATTTGTCCATACCCCCTCCTGAGCGTCACAACCCGGAGGCTTGGCAGAAATTGCTTTGGGAGATGGCTAAGAGCAGAGGCAGAGATCAGGCTGAGTGTGGTAGCTGGAGAACCAGGCTTAAAGGCAGGAGGGCAGGGGACCAGGTGCTTGCCTGTTTTGTCTCCAGTACCTGGCGTCTCTCTAGCTTTCCAGGCACCTTGGATTTTGTAGTATTCCCCCCTCCCATCTTACTCTGGCAGCTTCTTCAGACATTGCTGCCAGCCCCCATCATGGTGGCTTGGCATGGATGACTTCTCCCTCATGTGCAGTCCAGTCTTCCACATAATGTCAGTGATCTGAGTCGTCTGGTCCACGTTTTATCCCCAGCCCAACCATCACCACCACTGTGCCTGAGAGGGTATCACTGGTGTTCTCCATGGCCTTGCCTCAGGTGTACCGCATGGAGAAAGCAGGTCCACAGCACCCAAGAAGGTGATATACCCACTATGCTAGCCAGCTAAGGCCAGAGCAGACTCACAAAAATGAACAGGATACTAATGAAATGCTTTCTTTTTTCTGTGTTAAACTAATTGTCTTCTTCAAAAAGGAGAATACTCATTTAATTTAGCACTAGTAGTAAACATAAAATATGGCCTTTATTTTTTTTTCTAGCAGGAAGGTTACTGTTTGTATAAAAAATAATAGTTGTTGAGATTTCTTGGCATTATACTCAGTGCGAGAATTCTGTTGATTTACACTGGAATAAATGCAATATGTCTATTTCTTCCAATTAATAAGTTGTCACTCACATTCCTAGTTGTGCAACAAGTGCATAAGTGCCATGTGACTAGGAACCCAAGTGATAACTTGTTAATTAGTGGCAATTCCCCATCGTGATTTATGAAACTATACAAATGCCAGTATAAATCTCCAATGGAATCCTGCACAATATACTTACATACACAATTTAAGTTGTGAAGCATATCACGTCTAAACATTTGTGGAGCCAATGCTGTAAGTAAGCAATACCCCAATCCAAAACTGACTAGATTTAGTAAGACACATGCTAAGAAGGCACTTCTAAGGTCAAGTAAGGAAATCTCCCCATGTGAGCTGATCCATATCCCTCAGAAGCACAACCTTGATTTTAGCCAGCTTCAGTCAGTTTTATGGCCAAGTAGGGATAGAGATTCATTGCTTCTGTGCCTTAGCTTAACACTCTGACCATTATATTACAGTTTTTTTACTGTTTAAAAAATATACATCTTTACCCAAGTTGCATCATATGTACATTAAATATTACATTCAAGTATATTGCCTCAAAATGTATTTAAAAGAATTGGTAGCTAGAAAATAAGTGTTAAATAAATATTTTTTTCTTGTGAACATTAAATATGAATAACTGTACTATTTTTGGATTACACTTCACATTGCAGCTCATTTCCATTTTGAAAGCAAATGTATGATTGTAACAATTGGACTGAAGAGTAGTAGCAAAGGATATATGAGGGCATACGCTGCCATAAATTTTTCAAGGAAAGTTACTCAGAAGTGACGTGCATATAACAGCATTGCTTTCCCTCTAAATTTTTAGTGTTATGTTTGAAACAAACCACATGTTTCCTTTCCGATTTGATCTCATCCAAAATAAGAGAGAACTCTAATAATTTTTCCAATAATAAATGTACAACATCTGTTGTGTACATAGTTTAAATTTGTACAGTCTTGCAGCAAATATGAATAAACAGAGAATTTTAGAATGAAGAAAAATAATCAGTGGGAAACCTCAAGGATCAATATTGTGTCTTTTCCTACTTTTAATCACCATAAATAAGCTGATTTACTTGGACTTGGGTTCCTTTTGCTTATTTGACTTGGAGAGTTTTCTATTTTGTCCTGTTTTGCAACTACTACTTCAAAGAAATAAACTCAAATTGTCCAGAGGCGAGTCTTGGTCTGTCAGAAGAGAGTATGTCATTATTTTGATCTACCAATTTAATGTGATGTAAAACTAAAACATCCTTTGTCGGTTGCAAAAATAATATATGCAGCAAAACAAATCACTGTTGTCAGTTGCTAAAATATATACAATAAAAATGGTTGGAAAAAAGGATTGTCACTACAGGATAAAATCTATATCAAGCTTTCAGTAATGCAGGAACCAGATTTCATCCTGAGCCACAATACTTTTTATATGCTGGAGAAGATGGGAACAGAGCGGTCCTTCCTCCATTTTGTTCCTGGATGTGCTGTCCACAGAGTTGCTTTTAGAAGAGGAAAAGCAAGGGTGATACGTGGTCCTGGCATTAGCAGTAGACATGGTCAACCAGTACATTCTGGCAGAACTCTACAATGCCAAAAATCTTTACTATTCTGGGATTCCTTTTGATCTGTTCCTCTCTTTCTTAGCATTTTGAATCCCAAGTCTTGTGAGGAAATGAAAATGGTGATGCCCTGTATTCCTTCAAGTGCTGTCACTTACTGCAGCTATCAGCTACATGCTTTGGGGTTCTGCAGCATCTTCTAATTGAAGATTTGCATCCTTTGTCTGAAGTAGCAGTGGGTCTCCTCTGTTGTTAGCTAACTGTGCTTCTTCTGAGATGTCTGTCCAGCCGGAGTAATGTGAGGAACATCTTGGGAGTAACCACTGCTTGTACTACGACTCTGGGGCAGGCAGAAATGATAATACTCAGCAACCAAAAAGCCACTGTCTCCCCAGCTCCATTCATTCATTCGTTTTTGGGCATCCAGCGGAATAACAGGAAAAAAATTAACATTAAGGTGCTGGGGGCTCCAGAGTAGAACAGTAAATGTTTATTTCCTGTTTCCTACCTGCAGCAGTAAAAGTCACTGGATCCTCATTTTACTTCAGTAAGCATAAAGGGGAATGGGCCCAAACAGATGGGATTGGGCTCAGAGACCAATTTAGTCAGGCCCTGCTTTGCAAACCTAAAGCTGCCCAGTGACATGGCTGGCTACATAAAGTTAACATCCCACCCCAAATTGGGTCACCCACTCAAAATTAGAAAATGATCTGTACACATAAATGTCACAGATAAAGGAATAATCAACTTTACCAAATACTATAAGGCAACGGTGACTATTGTTTTTATTATTGTTACTACACTTTTCAGGAGAAAATGAACAACAAAGCAAATCATTCCTTGCTTCATTAAAATTTGGGAAAAAGATAATTAACTATCAAGGCACACTAAATTAACTTGATGATTTGTTTTACCTTGAACCATGTTATCTTGAACTTTTTTAGTTATGGCTGTCATTCTCTCATTTAAGTAAGTTAACATTTACACTATTAATAGATAATAATTTTTCTGTTAAATAGGTTATTAAATATCACAATGGTTTAAAATTTATTAATTTGACTGTCATCAATCCGTTCCTTCAAAGTGCAAGAAGTAATATGACTCATGGCATCTTTTCTTGAGCCTATTCAATGAATGTCAATTAATTTTGTCTATGAAAGTAAAATATTCAAAGCGCTGCATGTATCAATTCTAGATTTGCGCTCTGATTCAGACCTGACTCAGACTTGTAGGAAGAACATACAATAGAGCTTTCCCTGGACTATAGCACATCAGGTTTTGGATTGTCTTCTAAAGTAAAGGAGTTTACCATACCTGGAAAAAAAGCATGTCCTCAAAAAGTCTAGGTAAAGAGTTTTTTCACCAATAATCCTAGCCTGCTACCTTTGTGTATCGTTTGTTTCTTTTTACTATTATTTAAAACTAAAGTAAAATATCATCCTTTCATCACTATTCCAAAGTGGTACAGTCCCAGTCAACACTTTCTCAAAATTCAACCTGTCTCTTTTTCCATCCCCTTCATGGATTGCTGCCTTGTCGTGGCGAAGGGGCTTGAGTAACTCAGAGAAGCTATGGGCTATGCCGTGCAGGGACACCCAAGACGGACAGGACATAGTGGAGAATTCCGACTAAACGCAATGCACCTGGAGTAGGAACTGGCAATGCCACTCCAGTATCTTTGCCAAGAACACCCCGTGATCAGAAACAAAAGGCTAAAAGATATGACACTGGAAGATGGGACTCTCAGGTCGGAAGGCGTCCAACATGCTACTGAGGAAGAGCGGAGGACAAGTACAAGTAGCTCCGGGGCTAATGAAGTGGTTGGGCCAAAGCCGAAAGGACGCTCAGCTGTGGACGTGCCTGGAAGTGAAAGGAAAGTCCAATGCTGTAAAGAAAAATACTGTAGAAGGAATGGAGTAGCCCTCATAGTCAACAAAAGAGTGGGAAGAGCTGTAATGGGATACAATCTCAAAAATGATAGAATGATGTCAATACGAATCCAAGGCAGACCTTTCAACATCACAATAATCCAAGTTTATGCACCAACCAGCATTGCTGAGGAGACTGAAATTGAACAATTCTATGAAGATTTACAACACCTTCTAGAACTGACACCAAAGAAAGATGTTCTTCTCATTCTAGGGGACTGGAATGCTAAAGTAGGGAGCCAAGAGATAAAAGGAACAACAGGGAAGTTTGGCCTTGGAGTTCAGAACGAAGCAGGACAAAGGCTAATAGAGTTTTGTCAAGAGAATAAGCTGGTCATCACAAACACTCTTTTCCAACAACACAAGAGGCGACTCTATACATGGAAATCACCAGATGGGCAATATCGAAATCAGATTGATTATATTCTCTGCAGCCAAAGATGGAGAAGCTCTATACAGTCAGCAAAAACAAGACCTGGAGCTGACTGCGGTTCTGATCATCAGCTTCTCATAGCAAAATTCAAGCTTAGACTGAAGAGATTAGGAAAAACCACTGGGCCACTCAGGTATAATCTAAACCAAATCCCTTATGAATACACAGTGGAAGTAAAGAACAGATTTAAGGAACTAGATTTGGTGGACAGAGTGCCTGAAGAACTTTGGATAGAGGCTCGTAACATTGTCCAGGAGGCAGCAACGAAAACCATCCCAAAGAAAAGGAAATGCAAGAAAGTAAAGTGGCTGTCCAACGAGGCCTTAGAAATAGCAGAGAGGAGAAGGGAAGCAAAATGCAAGGGAGATAGGGAAAGTTACAGAAACTTGAATTCAGACTTCCAAAGAATAGCAAGGAGAGACAAGAGGGCCTTCTTAAATGAACAATGCAAAGAAATAGAGGAAGATAACAGAAAAGGAAAGACCAGAGATCTGTTCAGGAAAATTGGACATATTAGAGGAACATTTTGCGCAAAGATGAACATGATAAAAGACAAAAATGGGAGGGACCTAACAGAAGCAGAAGACGTCAAGACGAGGTGGCAAGAATACACAGAGGAATTATATCGGAAAGATTTGGATATCCCGGACATCGCAGACAATGTAGTTGCTGACCTTGAGCCAGACATCCTGGAGAGTGAAGTCAAGTGGGCCTTAGAAAGCCTGGCTAACAACAAGGCCAGTGGAGGTGATGGCATTCCAGTTGAACTATTTAAAATCTTGAAAGATGATGCTGTTAAGGTGCTACATTCAATATGCCAGCAAGTTTGGAAAACTCAACAGTGGCCAGAGGATTGGAAAAGATCAGTCTACATCCCAATCCCAAAGAAAGGCAGTGCCAAAGAATGCTCCAACTACCGTACAATTGCACTCATTTCGCACGCTAGCAAGGTTATGCTCAAAATCCTGCAAGGTAGGCTTCAGCAGTATGTGGACCGAGAACTCCCAGAAGTACAAGCTGGATTCCGAAGAGGCAGAGGAACTCGAGACCAAATTGCTAACTTGCGCTGGATTATGGAGAAAGCCAGAGAGTTCCAGAAAAATATCTACTTCTGCTTCATTGACTATGCGAAAGCCTTTGACTGTGTGGACCACAGCAGACTATGGCAAGTTCTTAAAGAAATGGGAGTGCCTGACCACTTTATCTGTCTCCTGAGAAACCTATATGTGGGGCAGGAAGCAACAGTTAGAACTGGTCATGGAACAACTGATTGGTTCAAAATTGGGAAAGGAGTACGGCAAGGCTGTATATTGTCCCCCAGCTTGTTTAACTTATATGCAGAATACATCATGCGGAAGGCTGGACTGGAAGAAACCCAAGCCGGAATTAAGATTGCCGGAAGAAATATCAACAACCTCCGATATGCAGATGATACCACTCTGATGGCAGAAAGTGAGGAGGAATTAAAGAACCTTGTAATGAGAGTGAAAGAGGAGAGTGCAAAAAACGGTCTGAAACTCAACATCAAAAAAACTAAGATCATGGCCACTGGTCCCATCACCTCCTGGGAAATAGAAGGGGAAGACATGGAGGAAGTGACAGATTTTATTTTCCTGGCCTCCATGATCACTGCAGATGGACACAGCAGCCACGAAATTAAAAGACGCCTGCTTCTTGGGAAGAAAGCGATGACAAATCTTGACAGCATCTTAAAAAGCAGAGACATCACATTGCCAACAAAAATCTGAATAGTCAAAGCTATGGTTTTTCCTGTCGTGATGTATGGAAGTGAGAGCTGGACCATAAAGAAAGCAGACCACCGAAGAATTGATGCCTTTGAATTGTGGTGCTGGA